CTTCACATCCACTAGGATGGCAAAAGTCAAAAACACAGGCAATAATGCGTTGGTAAGGATGTGGAGAATCTGAAACCTTCATACAGGGCTGGGGGTAAATGTAAAATGGTGCAGCCTCTTGGGAAAACAGTCTGGTAGTTTCTCAAAAGGTTAAACACACGGTTACTATATGACCCAGCAATTCTACTCCTAGGTATAAACCCAAGAAAAGTGAAAACGTTATGTTCACACAAGAACTTGCACTTGAACATTTATAGCAGCATTGTTCATAATAGTCAAAAGCTGAAATAATTGAAATGTCTCTCAACTGATACATGAATAAACTGAATGTGGTACAGCCATCAATGAAATATTGTTCAGCTATGAATAAGGAATGAAGTACTGATAGATGCTACATCATGGATGAACCTTGAAAATATGCCAAGTCAAAGAACTCAGTCATAATAGATCACATATTGCATGATTCCATTTGTATTAAGTGTCCAGAATAGGCAAACCTATGGAAACAGAAGGTAGATTAGTGATTGTCTAAGACAAGGGAGAGTTGAGAGAAGTGGAGAATGACTGATAATGGGTATGGGGTTTCTTTATGGGGTGACAGAAATGTTCTAAAATTGATTATGGTGATGGTGGCAAAACCCTGTGAATATACTATAAGCCACTGAATTAAACACTTTGAATAAAGTGAACTGTTTAGAATGTGAATTAAATCTTAGTAAAGTTGTTATATTAAAAATCTATACAAGGGGCAGAGCACACTTCCTGGCATGTAGTAAGGATATAATAAATGGTAATAAATTTATTATTGTGCCATTTCCTCTACCTAATGCCACTCTAATTAAGGCCAGAATCACCTCTCATGCTAACACTGTAGAATGTCAGGCTCATTGCAGAGAGCCCATTTCATACTTGATGGAAGGTCACAGGTGAGTCTTGAAGGCTAATATTACCAGTCTTTCTCCAATACTCAGATAAATAAATATATAACTCTTGGAGTAGTAAGAAAATAATGGTCTCCATTTCCTGAGCATTTACTATGTACCAGATACAGTGCTAGGAACTTTACAACTATTTTCCTCACAAGACTCATACTAGTCTGTTATTATTCCTATTCACTAAATGAAGAAGCTGCCATTTAGAGGTTAGCTTGTTTCAGGGACTATGAGTAGTTAATGACTGAATTGGTCTGTTCAATGCTGAGGTTTTTACTCTCTTCTCTATGCAAGTACACGGCTTCACGATTTCTTCCTTTCGTTTATCTATGTTTTACCCACTCTTTACAACTCAAGAAGCCTGATTTTCACTGATCTCCCTTTCCTCTCTGCATTCTACTACCGTCTAGTCCACATCAAATTAGTTAACACTTTCTTTCACATGAACTTTTGTGTTCTCAGATTGCTTCATGTCTAACACTCTTGAATATGGCAGGTGTTTGGTAAATATTTCTTTAGTGAATGGATGTTAAGCTTGTTTCCCCAAGCAGAAAACACGTTTTTGAAGGACAGACACTGTCTGATAGATTTCTTTATCTTTCATCTAGAGAATGGTCATCTAGGCTGGCCTATGCCTGGAGAGGACTAGACTCTGCTTAAAAATGGTTCTCACAGACACCATGCTCTCTGCCCACAGACTGGAAGGTTTCTCCTGAAGAACAGGACCCTGCTCACCTCATTATACTTAATCATAGTACAGCATGGAAGCTGGCACACAGTAGGAGCTCAGGAAGGTTTGATGAATTAAAAAGAAGACTGGGTTAGCACTTATTCTATCGGAGACAAATTAAGGGCAGCCTTCCCATAGAGACCCCTGAGCCCATCTTCTCTCACCCCCGTGAAAGGGAAAGAGGAGAGCAGGAAGGTTGGCCTGGAAGCATAAGGTGATAGGCTGCTGACGCTGCTTGTGGCCTCAGATGTTCAGTGTGGCAACCTCTCTGGCCCAGGACCCTCCTCTGACTGCAGACTCAGGTAGAGCTTTTCAGAGCCCATGTCTCACCTGCACACCATCAAATACAAAGAGTGGGGTAAACTCTTAATAATCTGTTACTCTGTTATCTATAGACCCATCAACACTCCATCTGAACCTCTACCACCTCCCACCTCTCCTAACTCTCAGACAGGTAACACGCTCACAGGGATCTACAGTCCCTTTGATTTGTCCAAAATTAGCCTGAGCTCACCTTCTCCTCACTCCCCCACCCTGACCTCGATCCTAACCAAAGCAGGAGTATTTCAGGCCCATGGATCCTCTGGCAATAAGAGGAAGGAGCCTGCCCTCTCTGCCTTTCAGCCAGCCATGCTATTTGGTTGGCCAAACTTGGTCCCTCTGTGCTCCCCATCTCTACACCAGCGTCTCTCCCTCTGACTTTTCTTCAAGATGTTAAAAACTCACAATAAAAAACAAATACAAAATGCTGTAATTAATAGCCAATTCCAAGCCAACCCAGCATCTCTACTAATAAACCTCAACACTTGCAAAAAGAACAATAAATTCTGCCCCTCTCTCGTCCTGGGGTGGTCTCTTATATACACTCCGTGTGTGTGTATGTATGTGGGTAAGTGTGTCTACATATATATTTATTTTCTTTTATTTCCCATCCAGGGAGGGGCAGAATAATGAACTGCGTGCGTCAGGGAAGATGAATCTGAGATACTAGGGAGCAGTGCAGTAAAAAGATTAAAGTGTTATTATTGTTGGTTTTTTTCCCCCATGGTCCATTGTGACAGCTCGACCGTCATCTGTAAAAAATGTCTCAGCGAGAGATAATCATCGGAAACTCAATAAAGCGTCAGGGGGAGCCTCAGCCCCCATCAATCACTGGGTGCCTGGAAAATTTCAGCCCTCTGTCTCCCTTCCTGCTATCCATATAAATGTCTCTAATATATTTTGTGTGGTGTGTGGGACTCATCCCTGATTTGGAACTTTTGATGAAAAAATATTTATACACAAAATATGTAAATCAGTTAAAAATCACAAGACTAGTTCTTTGCCACCCCATCCCAGTTTGTTTCTTATTTTTATAAATGCATCAAATTTATTCTTTTTAATAAAACATGTCAACTAGTCTATCTCCCTCTCCTAGTCAAACGTATATATACAGGTTTGGAGGGCTAAAAGGATGGAAACAATTAACCTAACTGCCTGCTACACTCAATCTTGAAGTTGGCCAAAAGGCCTGATGGATGGACATTGCATTGCTCATCCTAGTGACTCTATAGTGGCTGAGACTGCTGAGAAATGACATGTAGAACCACTGGTGCTGGAGGTGTGACAAGACTCTGACAATGATGAGGAAGAGGCAGGGACATTATTAAAAATAATAACTTGCCCAAACAATTTTTGGCCTGGCAGATTCCCAAGTCTTCCAAGACCCTGGACAAGCTGGAGTTGTTGAGCTAAGTGTGGAGTTCATACAGGCTGATATGGCTGCTAGGTTCTCTTCAACAGCAGTTCTGCTGGCATTTGACAGCATCTCTCTGCCTCAGTTTCCTTTAGTGCTTACATTATGAGGTTGCTGTGAGCACACAGTAAGGATCAATAAATGTTACCTGCTGCTGTAGCTATCATTATCATCATCATCATCATCATCTTATTATCATCTCCCCCTTTTCCACCCCAGAAGGAATCAGTTCCTGCAGTACCATCTCCTCTAAGACGTTCAAGACTACTCTGCCTAAAGGATAAAGTCGAAGCATCCTGATCTGGCCCCAATCTACTAACTACACCTTTACTGCTTATTACCCTCTAAAATGAATCTTCTGCTGCATGTATGCTTCAGCCTAACAAGTTTACTTGCAGCCCTGAAACATATTTTTTCTGCTTCCTAGCTCTGAATGTTTTGGACATAACATATCCCTTCTCTGAATCACATCCAATCATACCCACTTACAGTCCCCTCCATAAAATTTTCTTATACTTCAAGGCTCAAATCCCATTTTATTTCCTGATGCTTCAGCTAGAGATTCTCTTCCCTGAGCTTCCTCTGATAGTCTTTGTTACCTGTACCTCTGACTGGACCCTTGTCAAACATTGTCTTGGTTATGTCTTCAGTCTTTATTAATTGCTGTTCTTGCTAGCATTTTACATGTGCGTGATACGTTGTATTTTCTCAAAAATTTCGTAAGTACTCCAATTTGATCTTTACAATAAGCCTATGGTGTAATAAATATAATGCTCTCAGATGAGAAAAATCAAAGCTCAGAGAGGTAAAAAGAATCACCCAAGATCACAGTCAGGTGATGGCCAAGTCATTCCTTAGACTCTGAAATAATGTTTGGCTCTTTGCAGATAATAGTTTGCTACCACTGAAAAGCATTTGGAAGCTGTGTCAAAGACTCTCAATGAAATTCCATAATAGCCAGTACCCAATGAGGGTAACAATGATGTGTAAAAACAGAAATTTACATTAATGGAATTCCTTCTATGTTCCAAGTTTTAGGCTAGGGAAAATATACTACCGTTAACTCTTGCAATAACCTTTATTTTTTTACAAATAAAGAGACAGAGCCTCTAGGTACAAAAAATTGTTCCAGGTGTCACAGCTATAAAGTGTTCTGTACACCCATAATACCACAGCTTAAATACACAGACTCTCTAGGAATGAAACTTAAAGTGGCAAAATAAGGTCTTTTCTAGGGAGGAGAAGGTCCTGTTGAGTTTTTTAAAGCAGTTCAAGCACAAGTAGCCTAGGTCATGCTACTCAAAGAGTGGAAGTCTATTAGAAATACAAAATCTCAGGTCCCACCCCAGACATACTAAACCAGAATCTCAGGGGCAGGGACAGGAATTTGTTTTAAGAAACTCTCTTTTATGTCCTTAGGAGCCTTACTACTCCCATTAGAGTTTGCATCTCCAAGGGCACACCTCTCTGTTGTGCCTGTGTAGGGCTGGGCATGCAGTGGTTTCTGGGTGTTAACTTACATTAGATAGATGAGCTAGGATAAGACTACTCCTTAGCATGTCCTGGTGAGGGGGAGAAATATTATAGAGAGCAGTTCCATTACCGCCAGTGGGGACTCCTAGCCATCTCCTGAACTCCAGGGCACTTGTCCACTGGTTTGTGATGTACCAGCTTGCATCGTCCTGTCCCCCATCTGAAGACACAGAGATGGGGAGGTCAGCTGGAGCAGGCCAGGACCTGCAGCCCCTGGGGCTGTGGGAAGAGGGCCACCCAGCTGGTGATGTTGTCTTTGGCAGGTTCAGCTGGGCAACCCAGGCCCTCTACCCACAGAAGGGCCCTATGCCAACCCAGCTTCTGCACAACTCATCTTTATTCAGCTGCCACTTGGAACTGAGAAGAAAAGCTGACTTATAGCCTACTCTGGCCACATTTCTGCTGTGTTTTATTGTTTTAATTGTGCACATAAGAGGCACTCCTAATGCTTGCTTGCATTTCTGACAGCCCCAGACACCCAATGTTTATAACAGTTACTTGCAAGCAGCCAGCGGCATCCCCAGCTGGGCAACTTGTTTACTGTTAACATTAATTTATTGCCTCCTCCATCTGAGGACTGGGGCCCACCACCCATCAGACGGCCACAAGTGGAACTCTCCTAGAGTGGGAATGGGTGGGGCTCAAGGCACTGAATGGAATGTGGTCAAGGTCAGGGAATGATCTGACAGAGAAGCAGCTGTGATCTCCGAGCTCCCCTCCACGTATCCCCCTTGTGTGCCTTTGCTCAAGCTGTGTCCCTGCTCAGAATATCTTTTATTCACTCTCCAAAGCCCAGCTCAAACCATACTTCTTCTTAGTAAATAACTTGCTCTGATGGTGAGCACAAAGTTTCTAGAGCCTTAGAAATCACATGGCTGACAGGAACCTGGGAGGCCATATAATCTAATGACCCTTTACAGAATCCCTGATGGGCAGACAGCCAGCCTCCGTCAGTGCCCCTTGAGTGGTGACTTGCTCAGTATCTCCAAGGCAGGTTTCCTGCCTTATACTGAGCCAAGACCCAACTCCATAGAGAAATTCTTCACCACATGTCACCAAACAATCCTTTAAGATGGGTATTGTTATCCCTATGTCACAGATGAGAAAACTGAAATTCAAGAACCTCAAGCCACTTGCTTCACACAGCTGGTTAAGTGACAAAACTTAGATGAACCATGACTTCCTGGCACCGAAACCTGACCTTTCTCCAGGACACCACTGTGCCTTTGAAGATGCCACTCTGAGAGCTGGAGAGAATGGACAGAACAGTCAGGCTAATAAGGTCAAGCATCCCCATGTCACCTGCACCAGCAGACCTGCCCTCTACCCAGAAACACCAACCTTGACAAGGGTGGAAGATACTGTAATGTGCCAACTGAGCAGGCTTCTTGCTAGAGCAGTACCATAGGCAAAACAGGAGACGTACTTCAATGAGGCAACTGATGACAAAGTCTCAGCAAAGAGGTTTCTTTCCTCTCTACATTGTGCCCATTCTGAGCAGGCAGAACAGATACAGAGCCTCTCTGAGAGAAAGCCTGGCAACCTCTCCATCCCTTTTGGTCTCTGCCTGGATCCTCTTTCCTCCTCACAACTTAAATGCTGGTACCCTGCGTGAGGGACTTATCCTCCCATCCCCTCACTTAAACTCCTTTCCTTGAGCAGTTTCAGTCACATCCATTGTTTTAACTACCAATAAGATGCTGGTGACTCCCAAATCCCCATCTCCTGCCAGGCTTCTCCTTTGTGGTCCAGACCCACACATCCAACGGTTCAACCAAAGCAGAAACCAAGGTGACAGACGGGCACTCCCTTTCCATCGATTCCCACATTCCACTGAATACTCATCCACTTCCTAATATTTTCCTAACATCTATTTTCTCCAGTCCCAAAGATCTCTTTTAGGGATCCCCAGAAATCAGAAGTGCATTTTGACGAAGAAGAGCATAGCTTCTCATCCAATTCTCAAAGGTATCCATCATCCCTAAAACATCAAGAACCATTGCTTATCTTTCCCTTCAATTCATGGGATCATTCTTTCCCAATTAGAATGGTTCACCTAAAATGCAAATGTAAATTGAGCATTCCCCTCAATTGAGAGGGAGCTCTCAGGCCTTACTTCCTGCTGTTCTCCTCAGCACCATGGCAGGTAATTCCACCTGCTGTCACCTACCCCATGTCTCTGCATGTGTAGTTCCTTCTGCCTGGAAAGCCCATCCCTCTTAGTCTGCCTGGCAGCCTCTGACTCATCCTTAAGACCCAATTCAAAGTCACTTATCCTGTGATACTTCCCAGACACCCGCCTGCCCTCAGGTAGAGGGCATCACTACCTATATCAGTGCTCCTATATCTTTTGTACATCTGACTACCTTTGCATTTATCATCCTACACTGCAGTGTCTATTCTTGGTCTGTCTTTTTATTTGACTGGGAGCACTGTAGAGGGGCTAGACCATGTTCATTTTTATGTATTTATTCCCAGCATCTGGCAGAGTGCCTGACACTCAATAACTACAGCTGAATCATAAATAAACAAAACTAATAAGCAACTACAACTGTATAGTATTTTACAATTCACACATCACATACTTTACCTCTGCATCTTACAGCAATACTGATAAGGCAGACAAGGGATATATTACTGGGCTTTAGGGAAGTCATGCCAAGGTCACAAACTAGAAGTCACACTTCCCTTCAGTACTGAGCATAGGCTGAGTCCCACAGAAATATCTATTAGAAATTTAGTGAACTTGATGGACTTTGGAACTGACTCTATGTTCTAATACTGATGGACTCTCCTGAGCTTGTGAATTTGCCTACACATACTCTGGGAAAGGAACTTGCATCTCTTTTTCAACTTAACCTCCTCACACATCTCCGCAAGTCAGGCAGCTTCCCGTGAAAAAGTCAGTCCAATCCAAAGAACCACAGGATTCTTTTGTTTCTACTTCATCAATGAAAATGATCTAGAGCTGGGTACAGTGCCTGGCATACAGTGGGCAATCAATAAATACTGGTTGAACAGATGAATGAATAAGGTATCTTTACATGGAAAAAGGAGAAAAAATATGTTTAAGAAGGAGCTAAAGGCTTATTAGGCTGGTAAGGAGAGGAGAACCCTGAGATGATTTTAAAGGACTGTCACTCTCCAGGCCCAGAGTCAGAAAGCAGAGCACATGAAGCCAGATAGCAGAGTACATCCAAACTGATAGACCAGGTAAAATCAGATAAGCTGCCAGAAAACTGTGGCCAGCAAAGGAAGTCTGAAATTGAAAAAAATAAAGGGGGAAAAGCTACTGAGAGTAAGCCACAGAGCAGTGGGTTTGTCAATGACTGTTGACAAAATTTATTATTTAAATCTAGAATTATTTATTTTTAATGGTTCTTAAAGACTTAGGTGCTTACTGGGCACCAGAATGGGTTCCCTAAGGACAAGATGAAACCAGGCCAGAATAACCTACTGCCTTTTGGGAAAGGGTCACTGTGTAAGAAAGTAAGACAAATGTTAAACATGTTTTTACTTTAAAAAGAAATCTGAGAAAATCTCTTACAATTTTGTGGACAAGATGGAGAAATGGAAGCCAAAAAAGAACAAAGTCTGGTGGATTTACAGTTGTGACTGCTGAATAATGCTTCTAAATTGTCCTAGTCATGTGCTCCAGGGCTCTATACTTAATAGAGTCCTTGTAAACTTTTTAATCAAACACTAGCCTCTAAAGTAAAGGACGGCAGGGATCTTGTCTGCCTAACTCACCAGTACCTAGAACAGCGCCTGCTAGATAGGAACATGATCAATAAAATTTTTAAAAATTATTTTTGAGTAAATAAATGAATCCACAGAAAGCCTATTCACTAAATTTGCAGGTCATACAAAATAAGAAGAGATAGCTAACACTTTCATCTTTATTTCTTGAGTGATACACTAGCCTATTCCAACATTTTTGTGGTCTACCTACCTACCTACCTAGAATGTAGGCTGACCAGCTCAAGAGTTAATAAAAAAAAATTCAGATGAGGTTGACAAAAAAAAAAAGAGAAAGAAAGAAAAGTAAAGAAAGATAAAGGAAGGAAGGAAAGAAAGAAAGAAAAAAAATTATCTAGAACAGGGTTGGCAAACTACAGCCTACAGGCCTAATCCAGCCTGCTGCCAATTTTTGTTAATAAAGTTTTACTGGAACACATCCATACATACTTGTTTGTGTCCTGCACTACAATGGCCAAGCTGGGTAGTCACAACTGAGACCAACTAGCCCAGGAAGCTTAAACTGTTTACCATCTGGCATGTTCCAGATAAAGTTTGCAGACCATTGATCTAGAATGTTGAATATGAATAAGCATCAAGCTGGAAAGCTGAACTATTAGAATACAAAGGTATAAAGCTTGAATGCAGGAGTAGGGGCTTGTGTGACAGCAGAGGTTAGACTAGATAGCTTCACAGCTCTGAGATTCTGTGAAATTGAAAATGCTTACTGAGTCCTGTCGGGACCCTAAGAGCAGATGAGAAGGCACTCAAATAATCCTTCCCCTCCACCTGGCCCTGCCCTTCCAGCAAATGCTTTTTTGGTGAGAACATCTGAACAGAAGACAGTGGAGAGGGTAGCAATGCTGTGTCTGAGTGAGGAGAGGACAGCCTATAAGCTGAGTCCCCACGTATCAGGCTGCAAACACCAGGCAAGTGTGGTACTCATGAAATTCTCCTCTGTTTGAAACAAGGTCAACATGATTCCTCCAGCTCAATGGGAAATCCAAGGAGGCATAAGTAATGGCCTGCACATGGAACTGTCAGCTGATGAGGAGAGAAAAGACATATGAGCAGATCAGAGTTCAAATAACCATATATAGGGCCAAGATTTAGAAAACATTCAAAAGAACAGCTGAGGGCAAGTTGCAATCACTGCCAAGGACAGTGAAGGCTCTGTGGAGGACTGAACCACAGCAAGGGAGCTTGATGGAAGGAGCAGGTTCAGAGAGGTGGAGAGCAGAGGAGCAGAGGGAGGGCAACTTCACACTTCACCTGGGCAGCAATGCTCTGATGCTCTTGACATTTCCCACATGCTGCTGATTTGAGACACCTTGCTGAGGCAGCAATGACACTTCCGCTCTGGGCTACCATACATGGTAGTCTGGAAGCCTCACTGTCAGCTCTGAGGGCTGAGTACACTCCTCCCCTTGGCTGAACCTCCCTTCGGGTCAATGTTTGGAATGTCAGGCAGTCAGCAAGGCTGTCTGTCCTGGCATCACTGCCAAACCTAAGGCAGCCACTGCTCAGCTGCCCTGCTCCTGGAAAGTGAGGGGAATATCAGGCTCTGCAAGGGATCTAGGATAATGGGTGGGCAGTGGGGCCAATCTGGACAAGCAAAGCTCAAACATGAAATACTCATTTCTCTCTCCAGTCAAAGCAGCCTGCCCTCTTCTCAACTCCACTTTCGAAGAACTACTCAAAAGAGGCAACACGGACTAACTTGCCCAAGTACCCTCCAAATGGACACGTGACCAAGCCCTGGTACAGGTACACAGCACCTCTTTCCTCTGGAGAAGTCCAAGCAATCACCTACAAAACACCCCCAGGGAGGCACTGATGACCACCCCATTTTACAAGCACAAACATCAAGGCATAGAGAAGGTCCACTCTTTGTCCTGGGTCATTCAGCACGTTAAAGGGCCAGTCCCAGAGAGAGGATTATATTTCACATATAGGAGGGGAAAAATATAGTACTCAGAGTAGTGTTGAGGGACTTCTGAGGCTGAGGAGACCTGTTAGGCTGCTTTCTGGTTCTGGGGCAGGGCTGGGACAGGGTAAGTCTGCAGGAAGTAGTGCAAGAATAAATCCACATTCCATGCAGTTGCCTTAATTATTTTCTGGAAACCTGCTCCATTGTCCGTTCATCTGAGACTCCACAGGTTGAGGCACTTTGGGGAGAACACCAGTTAAAAGGTTCTCCCACCCCTCCCCCAGGTCATGAAATTGGGCCTCTAGCTTATTCCCCAAGATTTGAAGTGACATAAATTATAGAGCCAGAGGTGACTGTGAAGGACATCTGTCCAAGCCCTTTGGGTTATCCATGAGTTCCCAGAGGATGAGGGACATGCAGGCTCTCACCCTGAGTTGCTGGAAGAGTTGGTACACCTCAAGGCTGCCTGGAAGCCACGGGGAGCAGAGTTCTCATAACAGTAGGGTAGCCCACACTTACCTTCTAAAGAATGGATTCCCTGTTCCTTGGCGGTCTTGTAAACACTGCTGAAATCATCCCCAAGGTTTGGGTCAGCACCAGCAGCAAGCAGGACCCGCACTATACTGGAAGAACAGAGAAAGACACAAGTGTCAAAAACAGGAAAGGCCAAGGAAGTAGAGACTGAGATTCTGAGGCATGTTTGGGGATCGGATCTCCCTTTGCTCATGTGAGCAGTACAGTGGAAAGAACACAAGCTGTGCGAGTGTCAAAGACAAGGGTAGGAAAGTTGGAGCTGAAACTTTACTGGCTGAGAGGCTCTGGACAAGTTATCTAACACCTCTCTAACCCTCAGCTTCCACAACTATTAAATGTGAAGTGTTTATTCAACAGTTACTTATCAAATATTTACTATGTTCTAGTTTGAGGTGCTAGGGTCCGTGCCCTCAGGGAGCTTACTGTCTCTTCTGGGAAGGATAACAATTTAGTATAAAATTACAAAGAAGTGTGATAAAGGCTATGATGGAAGAAATACCAGCTGCGGTAGGAAACTAAAGCAGAGAATCACAAGAAAAACCTCCCAGAGGATGTGGTATTTAAGGTATTGAAAGGTTTAGTAGCCATATCTGGGATGTGAAGGGGGAGGGCCCAATGCATTTACAAATCTTGGACGCAAAAGAGTATGATGCTTCACCCAAAGAAAGTAGAGTTAGAATAGAGGATGTAAGGGGAAGAGAAGTGGGAGCTGAGGTAAGGGCTCACTGAAGGGCTTAAAGAGAAAGTGATGTGGCAACACATGCCTTCCCCCTCACTTCAAAAGATATATACATATTTTAAAAAATGCAAATCATACTGTAATATTAAATTGAAAAATGAAAGTCTTCCCTTACAGCCATCTCCTTAATGTAAATTCCAAGCGTAACCACTTATTTATAGTTTGGTGTGTTTCCTTCCAAACTTTTGCTATTAGAAGAATCACTCCAGTGGCTGGGTGAGAATGGATTGGTGGGAATAGGATGAGAGTCAGGAGTCTCCATAGTGGGGTTAAATTTAGTGAATTTATAAAGCACAGTGCTTCACTCAGGAAGTGCTCCGTATATGTTAGTTTCCCTTCTAATACATAATGCTTCTGCTAATCCTTTCCTTTCCTTTCTCCTAATAAAAAAAGGTTCATGTTCACTATAAAAAAATTCAGAAAATATAGCTGATCAAAAAGAAAAAAATGCTTTAGAATATATAACATCTTTCCAGTTTTTCTGATGTATGTATATTTTTATTTACAAAAAATGGGATTATACATAAACTCTCCCTAAACACCTTCTATGTATTAAATATTTGTTTACTACATGGTTTTAAATGACTCCACAGTATTCTACTATAAGGCCAGTCCATAGCCAATCCCCAATTGTAAAACAATTAGATTATTTTTAATATTTCAATAACAATCTCTATTTCCTTTGAATAAATTCTTAGGAGATGAAGTTCTAGATAAACAAAACCACTTTTAAGGCTTTTGATAAATGTTACTAAACTGTCTTTCAGAAAGATTGTACCAATTTTTATCCTTACTAGCAAAGGAAAGATGAGAGTAACTGTCTGCCTTCCTTTCACCAAAATAGGGTGGTTTTCTTCTTTTTCATAATGTGTTAATCTGGTAAACAGAAAACGGAATCATGTGGCTGTTTCAACTTACATTTCTCTGATTACTAGTGAGGTTGGAGTTAAAAAAATGTTTAGCAGTCAGCTGTGTTTCTTTTTTCATGAAACACAATAATCAATTGTGTTTTTATTTTCATGAATGATGTCTTTTGCCTATTTTTCTCTGATTATGTTAATCTTTTGCTTACTGGCCTTCAAAACTATTAATACCTTTTAAGGCATAAATGGCAAGCATTTAAAAAAATTACTCTAATTATTATAACTATTAAAAAGCCAAACTATAGTTTTAGTTTTTCTCCTTTGCTAGTTTTTCAGTGTTTGTAACCAGCAGTGTTGTTAGTTTTTCCTGTACCAACTGGTTTGAATTTCATTACCTTCAACAGGCACAGGGACCTGGCCCAATTATTTGCTGAATGGATGAATGAATTTCAATAACTCCCATGCACACAAACACACAGTCCTCATAGGTAAGTCAAAGAACTAGAATCCATCTCCCACGTAGATGAGGTTCTTCTACATCTGACCTAACACAGTCAAATGAGTCTCCTGTCTACTCACCTTACCTAAAAGGATCTTAAGAATCACCTTTTACAGGGAATTTATCCAGGATATGAATTATGATCCCAAAGAGAAATGAGAAGGGTCTCTAAGTAACATCTAAAATTCATGTCTAAAAGTCAGCTATTTAATTCATAGCAGAGTCTGTCAGGTTCTCACTTGGAGACTATTTGCTCATAGCTTACATATAATTTGAAGAAGACTGATATTAGTCTTCCTGTTTCCTAGAAGATTAAAAGTTAAGAGGGTACAAAAAGGCTGTTAGAGACAGACAAACTAACTGAAGGCAATGAGAGAAATAGCTGATAGAGAGGGATGTAGTATGGGACAGAGGTTAAAAATGTTGGCTTTAATGTCTGAGACAATCTGATGAGCATCAACATGAATAATGAAATTAATGGGATATAACCCATTGAGTAAACTAAGATTCCAAGAGTATACATTGAAAATAAGTCTATGGAGGCTAAGGGAAAATTCTCTACTGTAGAATGACAACTAGAAGAAATAATAAAATTAGAAAAATCATCATTTTGCAATCATAATTATGAGAGATATTAAGAGTATCTAGCTCATGTTGACTGTGTTGGTCATAATATAATGACATATAAGTCAACAAACATTAGTTATCATTACTATGCACCTGACCTTGTGGTTGGGCTATGGGGAAGTCAAAAGAAGTATGAACTAAGACACAAACTAGAAAGACAGCATGGCATTTCATAACAAGTACAGGGAAACCTGGGTTCAAATCAAAGCTCTATCATTTACTAACTATGGTCTTGGACAAGTTACTATACCTCTGAGACTCCATTTCCTCACCACAATAATAGAGATTGTGATGCTTCCCTTATAGGTTATGAGATAAGTCTGTAAAACTTCACAGTGCCTGGCACATAGGAGGAGATCCACAGGCATGAGCTCTCTTCTCTCTGTCCATATAATCTTACTGATAGTAACATGAATCTGGACTGAAGTGGGCTCCAGACTATATCTGATCACCCCCTAGGACTCACACTGGCACAGCCCTGTGTTAAGAAGGCAGCTCTTCAACATTCTGCACAAGTTGGCTTGTTTTAAAATCTAAGTGAGAAGAGTGTGTCGATCTAAACTCAAAGGGACATAATTTGGTTAATCCTCAGCTGCTGTGTCCAATCACCTTTCAATCACACTCCTTCCCATGGCAGACTGTCCCTCCAGGCAGCTAGTGTCACGAACTGTGCTACCTGGGCCTTTTCAGGTTCATGAGTATTGATTCTGTCTATCTAATTTGCAGGCTGCAAGACGTGTCCAAGCAACCAAGTATGCTGTCCTTGGCCCCAGAGGGCAGACAGTGGTCTGGCAGGATGGTGAGAGGAGAGGGACTAGGCCCTGGGACTGCTAACCCAATCAAAAGGAATGGGCAATTCACTTCACAAACTTGGAGGCCAAGGAGGGTAAGCATTCAAGTTAGTGATTCATTCTGCTATCTTGGAGAAGATTCCTTTCACTTTTAATGAAACTAAAAGACAGCAGCTCCACTGTGGGGTACAGCTAAGACTAAAGAAACTGTGGCTGCTCAGTGGCCAAGAGTGGTACCAAACACATTCCCAGACGGCCAGTCGGCTTTTTGTCCAAGAGTCATCTCATACTTACAAAGTATATAACCCAGAGCTCCATGGGGATCAGGCCCTTCTTGGAGAAGCGAGCCGAGATCAGGCTAGAGGACTACGTGACTAGCTTTGATGACCAAAAGAACTTTGTGAACCTATGGGCTGCAGCAGGGCAGAAACAGGGTAGGAAGCCAGCCAGGTAAGAGAAAGCTAGGGCAAGGCTGGTTAGAAGAGTAAGCTTAGCAGCAGGCCAGGCGCAGGAAGTGCCAAGAAGATCACAGTCAAAAGAGAACCAAGGGCCAGACACCAGGCAGCAGAGATGTGAGTCAGAGAGTCAAAAGCCAGGTCAAATGTCAAGGACTAGAGGCCAAAAGAAACAGAAGACCACAAAACAAGCAAGCAACCAGAAACCAAGGAATACAACAGTATCAGAGGTTAAGGTAAGGCAAAAGAAGCAGATATGAGGAAGAACAGTGAGGAGACTTTGGAAATGAAGACATTTCTGCCTCTTTGATGCTTTTTGCTGAAGAAGAAATAAATCCCCCAATTCAGAACTGTATCTGGGAGAAGGTGACATGCATGAGGAGACGGTGAGTTGGCCCACCTGGGTGACAAGGGAAATACAGAATCTGACAACACAAAGGAAGGCAGGCACTACAATTCCAGGTGATCCAGCAAAGGACAATTGAAGACCCCATCTGCTCTGGTGCTGGCATACTGGCTGTCACTTTGGAGGGTTGGGTTTAGGTATCACCACGTTAAATTTGAGTAGCTGTGCCAAATGGGCAGTGATGTGTATGGGCTAGGCCTTCGTGGTCTTAACAGCTGGATTAAAGGAGGGTAGAGTGTATCAATTTACTCACTTACGTTTTTCTATAACATGCTCAAAGGAACTACATTTACTACTCCACAGGTTCTCACTGGGCAAAGGCTTACAAGATGAACATCTGTAATCCTCCCAGCCAGTTTAGGATTTGACCTCTGGTAGCCTGTAGAAAGATATGCCTACCAATGTTGGTATCAACCTCAAAGGCTAGAGATAATCTCCAGATACCCTATTTCTGATACTCATTTGGGGAGTCAGAGATGTCTACAGCCCAAGAGGATGGGGATTTAGAGTTGGCCTTTAATGACTTGGCTCTGGTAGCAGTACCTGCCTTCCTGTGTGCCCATCAGAATCTGTTCTGGTCTTATCTCTGCCCAAGTGAGCTGACTCACCAAAAGGACTGGGCCTCATGAATGTTGAAGGTAAAGGTTGTCAGGGACAGCATCCAGCTAACAGGGTGGCAGAGAAGCAGCAATAAGACAGAGCTAGCTAG